CCTCCCGCCGGCCCCGCGTCCACTCGCCCGGGAAGCGGGAAAGGAGGCGGGGGGGAACTCCCGGGAAGCGGGAGAGCTCCGGGCCGGTTCTAACCCGGGAGCACCCGCGAGGCTGGTGCCGGTGGCGGGCCGCGCTCCGGGGAAGCGCCGCGGTCTTGTCTTTAAAAAGTCGGCGGGATGGCTGCGGGGAGCCGGGTAACTCCGTGCCGCGGGCTTCCCCGGTGCTCTGCTGCGCGCCGGCGGGACCGGCCGCGTTTGGCCTGTGGCGGAGCGGGCTGCGAGGAGAGGCAGCGCCTCAGCCCGAGGGGGAGGGGAAGGGAAACTTTCTGAGTCTTTCGAGCTCGTACTTTTTTTTTTTTTCTTTCTTCCCTAGTGATCTTAATCGATCTTACAAAAACTATCCGTTCTCCCTCCAAACGTCACCTCGTAGCCTCACATTACCCCAGCCACAACATTATCTCTGACTGCATGTGATGAAGGGTTTGCCCATTCTCTGGAGCCGGGGTGGCCGTTTCCAACTGTCATGTCTCCAGACACCCTTAGAACCAGGGGGAACTCGTCCCATTCATAATCTTTAAATTCGTATTGCTCGTACCAGAATACGAGTAGTGATGATTTTAAGCTTTGCCTCTTGAGGGCGTTTCATGAAAACTGAAACTCCGGGCTGGAAAGATATGTCATGAGCTGTGAAAATACTAGGCTGCTGTTTCTGCAGAATTCCCAAATGGTGCTGAATGGTTGTGTTTAATAGTCTCTTTATCCTTTATTCAAGCTGCCGTTTCTGTGGACTTTTTTTTGTTTGCTGGCATATTTTCTGCTCTGACTGCTTAATGTTAATGATAGACTTAAAGTTGGGATATGTCCCTGAGCTATCTAGAAATGGGATTGCAACTTTATCCCTAGAAACTGGTTATTTTAAGGCTATTCTGTGGCACCTGTAGCAATTAATGTTATAGTGGTATAGTTAGTAGAACACTCAATAAATTAATAGTTTGAATCAAGCTAATCTTTGCTGTATCTGTCCTTATTTTTACTGTAACTTCATTATGTTGTTCTCCCTGCAACATTACCATGTGCACTGACACGTGAACTAGCTCGTTCAAAACAAGTTTGTTTCTACTTGAACTGTGGTTGCACCTTTTAATTACACTTTAGACATGCCCATAGGTGCAGGAAAAATGAAGGGTGGCTTGAGGCAGGGTAACATAAGATGACATGTCAGGTAGAGGTTTTTCTCAGAATAGGTTCCTTTGTCATAATCTTTCAAACAGGTGCAATAATGCTTCACTTGCAAGAAATATGGCTGTTTTGGGGGTTGGAATTACTCCCCCCCCCCCCCAAAAAAAAAAAAACAAACAAAAAACACCAAAAACCCAACCCAAAACCAAAACCAGCCAAAACCCAACCAAACTCAAACTCCTAAACTGTGTTTTTGCAACATCCCATCTCTCAGTCTAACACTGTATCAGGATGTTTACCTTTTGCTGTTGGTGTGCCGTTGGTTGGTATTATTTTTTCCTGATGTTATGTTCTCTGTGTTGATGTCTACAGAGCTGACTTGCTTATGTGGTCCTGTATCTTCAGTTGAGTGCTGGTTCCTGGAGAAGTCACAGTTTAGTCTGTTTAGAAAGGGAAAGGCAGGAGGAGCTCTCGTCAGCAGCGAAAGGCACCATGAGAACTAAAAGTACTACAGTCAGATACTGTCAGTTTCTGAAAGGTTCTTTATAGAGACTTTTAAGTGTAAATGTTTATTTAACCAGATTGTTTGATAGTCTTATTTCAACTTCAGTGTTTCAATACAGTGCTCTTTTCTTTTTCTGTTTCTTTTTTTCCTCTTCTGTTGAATAAGCTAAAGTGAACAGAATGGTACATTTTGTTTTAGACCATTTTGTGCCTGGCAGGCTTGTCCTTTCTGTTTGTCCCTCCACAAGATTGTGGAATTTTTCTTCTGAAATGTTTTACAAGACCTGGAGGGGGCAAATGGGGGGTTTAACTCATATCCTTAAGAACACAAAAGGAAACTGCACCTTTAAAGGCACAGTAAAGAAGTTGCTAGGTTGGAAAACAACTTGGTGGCAAGAGGTGTAAAACAGTGCCCTCCAGAAAAATAGAAATTGAATCAATGTGAAAAAGTGTAAAATATAGCAGAAGAAAAAAAAGTGATGTGAATTAGGGTTAGGGGTTTTAATGTAAATTGGAAACATAAGGGGAAATAGAAGAGCAGCAGCAGACAGCTAAATTTAATGGGTTTGTTTAAATACTTCTGATGGCCAAAGGGAATAGGGGTGTGAGGGAGCCTAGCAGGTGATGAGCAAATCAAGAAAAATAAAAGATATTAAAGGAATTACTGACTTGATGAAATGTTGTGAGTGGCTGAAATATCCAAACAGGAGGTTCTGGAATGATGTAATGGGCAAACAACAAGTTAGAAAGACCAGATCACCTCTTTTTTTTTCAGAGAACCAGAGTGGAAGCTGAACTGATATGAAAATTATCCAACTTCATAGTAAGGGGCTAAAGCATAATGGAAGTACTTGTTTCAATCATATAATAATACCAATGGAAAAAAATGGTGATGTAAATTGCAGAGATAAGGGGCAGTGATATGATAGCAAGTCAGTTTTTTTCTGCTCTGAAGGAAAAAAAATTATGCTTAGTCTGCTACAGTTTTTGAAGTCTGCCTAGCAAGTAATGGATTAAGCTGCTCTTTTTTTTTTTTTCTCCAAGATACAAAATGTGACCATTAGGGTGCAGGGCATGTAGAAATATCAGTACTTTTAAAGTATGTTAAAGAAGGTAGGGGAACTCTGGTGAAACAGCAAAGGTAAGTTTAAACAAAACATGCAGTGAAAACCTCTGCTAAATATAAAACCTGTAGAACAGTAGGACTGGAATTATATGCTGCCTCATGAATGTCTTGAGCTGTGTTAAAAGTTGTGCAGGCTTCATTCAGTTGGAGGATTAAAAAGCAGAGGTAGTCTAAGGCAGGTGACAGACAGTAAATTTCCTTTCACTAGAATTGGTTTTAAAAGGGTGTTAGGAGGAGGAGGAGGGTATGAAAAAGTGGTAGGTTGGACATCACATTGTCACTTCTGTTGATCCGTGCATAACAGGAGTAAATGGGGTTCAGTGACATAGAAGAAATTTTAAATTGTGATAAAGTGAATGCTTTCTTGAAACATAATTAATGCTTAATGTCATGAGGAGGCAGAAGCTAAAAGCATTAGTATTGAAAGAGATATAACTGTGTTCCTGGACGTATACGGAGAGTAATAGACTCTTGAGTTTTAAGAGTGTGTGATGAGATTTAAGATTTAGCTAGTTACCAGCTGCAGAAAGCTTCCTTATGATCTAGAGTAATTATTTTCTCATTTTCTATTTTTATTTGGCAGTTCAGACTGCTTGCCAGGCTCAGCAGGAGGATTCATATGTTCTGTGAGAAACTAACCAGTTTGACACACACAGATCTTTATTTTTTTTACAGTCTGGGCATAAAGTTGAGATTATACATAAGTGATATGCTGATTTTAGAAATATCCTTTGGCTAAACATCCCAAATGTATTTATCTCCAAACAGGGCGTTGTAAGCCTATCAAATCTGAAGTTATACTTGAAAGCAGATTCACCCATTGATAGATGAAAATGTTGTTTTGTCAAACAAGCCACCTTTTGGTGGCACACAAACCACAACTTATCTTTAAGTAAAGTCAGATAATAATGTTGTGATTAGTATTAGATTGTTGTGATGTGTTTTTTGTCTGAAGCAGGATGAGATTGCCTCTTAAAAGACACAGGACTCCTTTGTATAGCTCTCATGTGATTACCTCTTTAACTGCCTGTGTGTTCTTGTTTTACCTTGGTTTGTCTTGAGAAATGATCAGAAGGGAAAAGAGGTGTTTTGGTTAATGTGCTGTGTGCTGGATTGGAGAGCTTTTGGTCAGAGGGGTACTGGGTGTAAATGGGATAAGGGAGGCAGGATGAGCATCATCATCAATTTTGAAGTTCCTGTGCTTTTTGGCTTGATGCGGCTGATACAA